TCTTATTGATTTTTTTAAAACATGGGACGACCAAAAAAGAGTTAAAATGAGTTTTAATGTATTGAGATAGTTTTCAATAATTTTATTAAGCATTAAGAGGCTTTAAATAATCAACATAAACACATTATTTTCATAATTTATAATTTAAAACAACCTAGAATAATTTAACAACTTATATAACCTAACTAAAATTAATAATTTAAATTCATAGTCGTTGTCATGCCTTTTTTTAGATGAAATTCTAAGAGGTTTTGCCAAGATGAATCCTAACTCAAATTTAGGAGTGATGACATAATGCTCTTGCTTCTTCAACCTCATTTAAGCATTCTGAGACATATTTGAGTGATTCATCTTTGAGCTCTTTCAGTATCGCTAGATTTGAAAAGTCGTAATCTGATTCTTCAAGTAGTGTGAGGACCTTTTGATCAAAACACCATTTTATCTTATCAATTTGGGTATTGCCTTTAAAAGACTTAAAAGTGATAGATATAACTTGTACAAAATTGAGATAATCATTTTTTTCTTCAAATTTTGAAAAGTTCTATGACTCAATTCTTTTCTTGAAGGGTGAACTTACTGAGTATATTCCTTTAGCAATGATTGTTCCTTTTTTCGACGCTCGTATGAAATGTACCAAAAAATTGATTGATCATTATCAAGATTCATCTGCAAGTATCATTTAGATGGTAAAAGTTTAATAGAGATTTCTTTTATTCTCTTTTCGAACATCTTGATAGCGGCTCATTGAACTTCACTCTCTTCTTTTGAATCAACATCAATTGAGTCGTCTTGCGTGGATTTTTTCATATTTAATCTTTCAGAATCTAAATAGAATTTTACATTTGCAAAGTATCACTTTGTCTTGATGAAAGGATTAATTTTTGCATCAATTTTGACTATTTCATCATCATTCATATACTTTATGCATTTATGTAAAGTAGATGACAATCACTCAATTTTCATAAACCCAAGGACTCTCAAGCAACAAATTTATGATGTTTTGACATTTATAACATGGATCAAAATGTTTGATTTCATATCGTCAATGAACAATTCTACACAAATATTTTCTATGGCTCGGTGTCCTCCTTGATTGAAACCTTGAATCATAAGGTTTTTTTCAAGTCATCAATAGAGTTTCTGAGCTTTTTTGAGTCATATTTAGCATGATATTGACTACTAAAACACCATCGGTAGTATGCAATTGATATGATGTTCTTGAATAGCTCCTACAGCAAACAAAGGTTTGTTATGTAGTTTAGACCTTAACAACAAATCATCATCAGTGAAGGCAAATATAGCAAAATTTGGGGTAACTCTTTTGTTAGCATGATGTTCTTGTGTTATTGTTGGATTATTTTTACCGCACTTTTGCTTTCTTTTGTTTTATCTATGCTGAAAACATGTATTTCACCAGTTTGACTGCCTTAAACAAACATTCAGGATATAATTCACGCAATATAATAGACTTTCGAATCCTCTGCGATAAGGAACCATTGATGTTTTGACTTGTATAACATTTGACATTTTTTATGATTGTATTTGATTCACATCACTCCTTAGTGCTCTTGTCTTGGAAAGTTGTATCCTAACAACTATTTGATGTCTCTGCTTCTTATGAGTAACCAAAGTCCAATCATAATATTCATTTTCTTTGTGATTGTCGTCTGTCTCTAGTGAACCTTCAAAAGTTTTCTTTGAAAATTCAACTTCGATAGGCGTGAAACTCCTGCATTACAAGAAAAGGGTGTTTGGCATAATCTGCGACTTCGAGCACTTCTTCTAGTTGGGTGCTATACTTGCATGGTTTGCCTCAGCTATTTTATTTATGTCAATGATGATTTTTTTCTTCACTTACTAACACCATGATTTTCTCTTTCAAGACAAAGTATTTACTTGTTGGGTGGGGAATGGCGCAATAAAACTTACAGTATATTATCAATCATATTGATTTCTTCGGGCCTTTTTAATTTAGGGAGATCAATAACTTTCTTGGCTAGCAATTCAACAAGGATCATAAGTACGTTTGAATCTGAAAAATGAATAAATCTTTACCTCTAACTCCTAAAAGGTTGAATGTAGTTTCTCTTCATTTGGATATTGACTTGGGGATTCCTCTTTTTGAAGTTCTTTCTTTATTGTGACCTTGACAAAAGTTGCTTTCACTCCTATAGATTTTTTAGCTTGGATCTTTGAGGTCGTGCCTTTTTGAACTCTTTCTTTTCTATTGTCAGAGATTAGCAAAAAGATATGTCTTCCAATGACTAGGAATGCTCAACTCCATGTTAAGTGCTCGTATGATAAGTTCTTCAAAAGTTTGCGGTTTGATTCCTTGTAGTATGTATAGTAGTCCCTAGTGCATTTCTTGAATGCATATTTCTAGAGCAGATATTTAAGAAAGGCAATCTTTACCGTCCAAACTCAATGTTCTCCAATAATTGATATAATCCACCACAGACTCATCTTTCCTTTGTTTAGTGCCTGTCAACTCTATCATGCTTACGGTCCAAGTGTACTGTAAAAATGATTAAGGAATTCCTTATCGAGTTGCTCCAACTATCAATAGACTCATGTTCCATGTCGATATACCAGTCGAATGCACTCTCTTTCAGCGAACAAACAAACTGGTTTACCAAAAAGTCACCATGTGGTCCAGCATTGCTACAAGTTTCAATAGTGGGCATGTATTACCTTGGGTTTTCTTTGCCATCAAATTGTTGTAGCTTTGGTGGCTGATAGTTCGTTTTCATGGATAGACAATCACACTGTCTGGTATATGGCTTGGAGTAATACAATGAATTTTGTGGCGTTCTGCTATATTGAGCCCTGATGATGTTTGTTATCATGTCTTGTTGGACATATAACGCTGCAATTGAAACTGATTGTTTCTCCTTTTAAAAGTTGGACTTAGCTATAGATTCCTCAAACGACCTTATTTTTTGGATTGAACCTAGACGGACAAGTGTGGACAGTAACTTGACTCTTTAGGTGTGAATCCTCCAACTTGTTCATAAGTTGAGCAATATGAAGTGTTTTTTATCGTCAATAGACTTCTTCATTAAAATTGGAGAAATCATTGAATCCTCAAATTCCCCCAAGTTAAAGTCAATTTGAGAAAATTCTTCAAAGACTATAGATGTGAGGTTGCCTCCGGAGGTTGCAATTACGATCGCCATATGAGAATTGTTGTTTTTTTTTATCATCTATGGAGAGGTAAAGCATTCGAATTCATCTAAGTCACTAGTCTTGAACTTGCGTCAAGTCTTTGCATGAAACATCATTACATCACTGATTTTGAATGTTATCACAATAGTTGACTTTGTATTTTGTAATTTGCAAGATGAAGAGATCAAGAACAAAATTGACCGCATTGGACGTGTATAAATTTATTCACAACAAATTTCCAAAGTGTTGGAATTTAACTGCAACAAAAAATAAGAAAATTATATTTTTTGTTGATAAATTTGTGAATACAGTTTTATCACCCTCTTGATTCTTCTCTCCTGAACTTCTCCGAGATTCATGAATTAAATAGCGTACTTCTTGAATTGTTTAATGATTTGAATCTCCTAGTGTATTCCAATCGCCAAGAATATTGGTTAGTACTTCATTACTTCGAAAAGATCTCCAAAAAAACTCCTTCAACCACTACTTGAAAGAATTATGTAATAGATGTTGTAGCTTTCTACCACGCTTACTCCAATGCTTGTTGAAGTGTTTGTCAAATGTCCTTGAATGTCATGTCTATCCCCTATTCATAGTTGTAGGGAGGGAACAAAGTTGCATATGATTAGCTAAAAGATGTCATTTAACACTTGACAAATTGTGATTGATTCTTAAACTTAACTAGAACTACCACATCATTTGAAAATATGATATCATCTTGTTAGTCTTTGATGCATAGCCACCATGACACGCAACATGGGTTTAGGCTTCAATGTGTAATTGACCTTGGCCATTAAAATGAACTGATTAATTTGTATAGTCCAAATTAATCATTAATTAATCAACCCAAATGAACTGAATAAAATCCAAAATTTTATATAAATTTAACCCAATAAAATCTATACACTGCCAAATTTAGTAATGATAAAGTCATGAAACACCAATCTTCTGCCTCCGGATATATCAGTATTATTATTTTTTTGCTCATTAAGTGATCAATAAAAACAGCAATCGGCTTCAAACTACTAGCTTTTGCTCCCAAAGCAAATGTTGACCGTGACAATAAAATATTTGGTGTAAAATGAACCATGCCATCACTAGAGATGAACAGATTTACATATTGCTAGCAAACAGTAAGAGCAGCAGCCAGCTCTCCCATTCCAAATTTGCATTAGTAGAGAAAGATCTTGAGTATCTGATCGGCTTGACATAACCAAGAATCATCCAAGTGATCAGGAGTTATCTCAAAGCAGTGATGATAACATTTTATCCATGTTATTCCACAATTAACTCTGATGAACTAACTCTATTTCCTGCAGACATCCCATCCCAGAAATAATTAGCAAGAAATGTTTTGAAACAGTATACATAACGGCATACGAAAGTGGGCAATACATGCAGAGAAAAAACAAGTTCCGTTACTTAAAACCTAAAGCAAGGGAAGTTGATGCATTGTCATCATTATTCTTTCTTACCAAAATAAATACAGACACATTAAATTTACATTGACATGACAGAATTTCCAACTAGCCAACACCAGCAAGGATACGAAATCAGGAACATGCACAAAGCTCACTATCCAAATAACTAGTTTTTGCTCCTAAACAATTGGTAAAAATGCTTGGTAATTTTCCTCCCAAGGCATATTATCGAATTTTATGATCAACTATGATGCCACACAAAGCTCACTATAAAAAACTTAAAAGAAAAGAGAGTAATCCACGATTGTCTCAGTGTCACGTGGTTTACACACTTCAAAGACGACATGCAATGTGGGCTGAAAATACTTTAATTTCAAATAAGCAAAGCCGTAACCAGAAACCCTGGCTTAAATTTCAAACAACAAGGATCTTTCCTAACCTGCTACTCTTTTTTGAAGGAACAACTAGTCCCCTTTTCTCCAGGCTTTTAAACCGATCTCTTGCAAGGGTGCAGCATCCCTGTTCGAAACAGAAAGCAAAATCACTTAAGAGAAAGACCTTGAAAATAGAAACAAATGTGAAAACAACCAACTTGGAGAAATTCGAAATCAGGAAAGCAACCTTCAATTTACGGAGGGAACCAGTAATCTCTTCAGACAATAAGACCTGAGCAGGAGCAGGCTGGAATCTGAAATGATAGGCCATAAATTATTTTGTCAACATCTACAGTTATTGCAGGAATAAAGCAAAAGAGACAAGAAAATGACTCTCATTGCTCAGAATCTGATGTTCTAGAAATATATACAAACCCCACAAGCAAAACAGCAACGAGAGTCATTTTCTTGAATTATAACCCCACAAGCAAAAGAGCCTCAGAACATGCAATCATCATTGTTTCAAACCCCAAGCTGGAAGTTGAAACATTTTTAAGAGCTATAACCATAAAGATCCCTTTAAAATCTGATGTTCTAGAAAGCCATTTTTTCCCAGTTAGCAATTTAATTATTGAAACTTATTTACTTCAAAATGAAACAGCACATACTTGCGCTTTCCCAAGCGTGGCGGACAACATTTTAGTCTTTCTTTTTTAGCAGTTACACGACGTAGATGTCTTTTCTGTTTTTCTCCTTCCTCTCTCTCTATTTCTTGAATTATATCCGGTAAGCTGCAGGCACAAAAACAGATAAGAATCTATAAGAAAGGCAAATTCTATTTAACTAGAATATGATTTGCCTGATATTCTAAGTAATAGCAAACCTATCAATTTCTTTGGAGAGCTGTGCTGCTTTTGTTGATTCAGCTTGTGCTTTCAACTGTTCTTTGCGTCTAGCCCGTCGATTCTTCTCAACTTGTGTCACCATTTTGGGCTTTTGAGGCCTGAATAAAGTTAAAATTAATGATGTATAATTTCATTCAGCGTTAAATGAAGATCTGACGACTTGCTATGCACTCAACACAACATGGATTGCCAAGGAAGCTAAACTTAGAGCACTGCAAATTTTCAGAACACAACTGACATACAAAAAAGAAAATCTTGAACACTGGTGACTCTACAACTGATCATCATTAGGACATTTGGATCATCACCACCAAAGGTAACAGATATAAAGCCGGACGGCAACAACGTCCATATTATCTATCATGCTTACTGGTGACTCAACTCACAATCTAACTCAGCAAGATTAAGGAAGGATCAAACCTCTTCAAATTAGAAATGTGATTTCATATGTAGTTGATTTTAACTTAACATATTTAAGCAACCAAATATTAGTGATATACAATGTACTCGTTCTGCGTCTTTAACCACAAAAAAAAGGCTGTTCCATTTGGGCATATTAGAGTTCACCACAGGGTTCCTAATAAATTAAATAAAAAGGAAAGACTTTTCCAAGAAGAAAGAGTCTTGAGAAACTATGTCCTTTGCTTTAAGCTGTTGAGTTGAAAGCAAATTCTTTTACATGTTATCATAAGCTTTGATAAATCCATTTTTTCACCTAAAAGTCTGATCTTCTGTCACCTGTGAAACCTCTAACCAAATTAAACAAGTGGAACAATATCAGAGTCTAGAGATATACCTGGTGTCTCATATCATGTGCTCAAAGGGTTTCCAAAGTTTTAATTAAGGTCCTCCCCTACTCGGTCATTGACTTAAGATTCTGGGATTGGATGCTCAAATTCTTAAATACCCACAAAAATTGGATCTATCATTTTCTAGTTCCAGGATTCCAGTACCATTTAATCATTGACATTTTAATATACATGATCTCCAGATAAAACTGATGTGAACTTCTGAGTTAGCTACAATTATTGAAAAACATAGAAGTTACAAATGCTGGAAACAAGAACTTCTCCACTAGCTCAAATTCCACCCCACAAAAACTGAATATATTATTTCCTAGTTGCAGTACTGCAGTTATCAAAATAATGTGAACTTCTGCATTAGCTACAAGTGTTGGAAGAAAATAAGAGCTACTCATGCTGGAAATAGAACTTCCCACTGAACACATTATTTCCTAGTTGCAGTACTGCTCAGTAATCAAAATAATGTGAACTTCCGGATTAGCTACAAATGTTGGAAGAAAATAATAGCTACTACTAATGCTGGAAATAAGAGCTTTCCCACTAGCAGAAAAAATAAACACAATGTCACACGAAATAGGGCAAACATGGGTTCAAATAGATAAGGACGAAGGAAGCATGAGGTCTTAGACCATCAGTGATAGCGTTAGATATATCGCCTTTGACTTCATAAACATCCATAGCTTAGATCTTTGTTTTTTTTATGACAAGGGAAACCCGCAGCAGCTACCCTTTGGGTGCGCACAGGGTAAAACCCCCACTCCTATACAATAGCTTGCAAACCACATAGGAGAGGTAACCCGCACTAGGTAAGCCCGGTGTGACGAGCTCGACCCAGAAGGCAAACCCCTTGCTTTCGCTGGCAGGGGTTTCGAACTTGAGACCTCTAACATGGAAGTCTCAAGCCCAAACCACTGGGCCACCCCGAAGCTTTGTGAAAACTATTAAATATGCAAAGCCACATAAATAAAACGAAATTGCATTTCTAGTATAAATCATGATAAGAAATTGAAAATAGAAAGAGCCAATTGTGAGCCACTGTAAAAATGAGGACAAGACAACTCATGTTAGCCTTGTAAAGTTATAGTTAAAAAATTAGGACTTAAAGCTAATTGGGTGTAACCAGTGTCCAGAGATTAAAATGTAACTAAATTATTTTTTTTGAAAAGGTAACTTGTAAAATGTAACTAAATTTACTGTCAGCATAATTTATCATGTAGATTTAACACATTAAACTGTCATCTATTTTATTTCTCTGAAGCCTAAAGCTTAAAGATTGTCAAAGAAGCTCCTATTCACTATTATAAGGGGACTCCACGAATATGAATAGACACAGGTGAATAAATTACATGGTTCAAATTTTGATGGCTGGATTTTCAAGTAATATTATAATTTTAAATGATCCTGAGTACTGAGCAAGCAAAGAATAGAACATGTTTCAATAGCAAAAACTATCAAGACAGACGAGCAATATAGAAGCTTACCTTTTCTCCAGATCTGTGTTTCCGTCTTCCACTTGTTTTTCATTCTCCATGTCACTGCCACTATCCGCTTCAAGGAAATACATCTGAGACAAATGAATCTTCGGTGAATACTTATACAGAGTATAAGAAAACATATCCCATAAGGCATCAACAAGGGCCATGGTCAAAGGTACTAACAAGACTGTAACAGCTTAAACTTACATCTTCTTCATTAACTGCTTCTCCAGGAACAATCAATGGAATAGGCTCCGGCCCCAATTCATTTCGATAAATTTTCTGCATTTCATCTGCAACAGCACAAGCTAATGCATCCTGAATTGAGAAGATACCGAGTGAATTATTAATTGCAGGGACTAGGAACTTGGTAATAACAAAATATGACATACAGACACAAATTACCTGATGACTTTCAGGTGGCGGATTGAATGAGCATCCTGGAGGCTCAACTTCCACGGCAGGTATAACAGAAGTCTTGGGCTTCTGTCACATGCAATGCATATAAAACTGATTACATATACTAATGCAGATTTGTATTTTCCCTTTCCGAAAAGTACACATGCAAAATTGTTCTATGAAAGTCGAAGGTTTACAATTCAACTACTCGAGATTTAGGACCATAAATAAATATACACAGTTACGATAGTGAAGAAATGGATAGAGAAAGAAGAAGACATGGAGGTACAAACAATATGCACCAGGGGTCGTTTTGTTGAGAGACGAGTTATGTGAGGACTGGAATGTAGGGATTGTATCTTAGGGAATAGAGTAATACAAGGATTGTAATGCATGAATTATATTGTAGGATTAAATACGTGTTTTGTTTAATTTTACAAAATGGTTTTGATATATGAAGGTTATTTTGTTCATTTTAGTCGTTTTAATCCTGATTCTATAACATCTTAGTAATGCAACCAAACGAGCTTGTGTCACCAGCCAACCCACCTCATCCGCTGACATAGAAAATTATGAAAAATTTCATTCCACAGCAGCAGGAAAGTACAGAAAAACCAAATCCAAAAATGAAATCCCAATCTAAACATGCATCACATATTTTGGTCAAGATCTTTAGACAGCCCTAGAGCATCAATGATGCTAAAACTAAAAGGAAGGATTTCAAACTGCCAAAATGAGGAATGAGCAAAATGGAAAACAATCCAAGTTTGACTTCTTTTTGGATGCCTGGTATCTTTTTTGATGAAATTTTGTATCCGTTACAGATCATTGTATCTGCATAATCTAATTCGTCAAATGAAGTGGTGAAAATGTGTCTGACTAACGGGAAACTAACTGATCAATCAATCACAAAAGATAGTTAGGGTCAGCTCTAATGGGTCTCTACATCCATTTTGCTTATTTAGGTCCATTACCTTCCACGATAAAGGATCTTTTATATCCATTCTCATGCCTTTCTTTCATTTTTTACTCTCATCTATCGTTTGAGCGGATAAGCATGCAGAGCATGTGCAAGGAAAAGGTCCATCTCAAAGATGCTTAGTGATGTTTTCTTCAAAAGTAAGAGATTCAATTGGCTTAAGACTGATCATTTTTAAGTGGACTTTGAAGCATTTTAAGGCAATAATAGTAGTACTCATAAAGAATGGCAGGCTACATTAATAAAACCTATAGCAAGTATTGCATCACAACTTACAAGGAAAAACTTCAGCTGATTTGAAATATGTTTTTCATGTATAAGGAAACCAAAATTGAAAAGGATGTTCCTGATAAATGGCCCAAAAAGATAAAGAGGAGAAAAGAATTTTAAAATTCATATACGGGAAGGAAAAAACAGTGTACCTTTTTGGTTTTGATGACCAGTTCACCTGCAACAATGCAATGAAGGTTGCATCAGAAAAGTCATTTTACTACAAAAGTGACGAGGAACAAAAAGGCTCTAATTATAAGGACACCTTTATCATCCCAAATGTCAACCATGCCAGAGTCTCCACCAGCCGAATCCTAATAACACAAAATTAAGAAGAAATAAACAATGAGGATCTATTAGGGATGTGCACTCAAATGAAAAGATTTTTCTCCCTATTGAGGGAAGGCCATTGTGGCAAGGAAGAAGCAGCCATAATATCTTGCAATTGGTGAATTGAATATTTAAAATGAATTAGTGAAGAACCTTTTGACCCTGTTGAGCAGTATCTTTAGCTATCTGAACTTTACTTTTCTTCTTGGACTTTTTCCCAGTTGAAGAAGGTACAGGTTCAACAAAGGTATTGCTCTGTAGCATACTATCACATCGAAGTACTTTCTCCCGGTGTTTTTCAATTTTCCGTTTGACAGAAAGATCTGGATTATAGACATAAACTAGTCACTTAATCATTAAAAAGGGATTTGCCAACAAAAAGCGACAGAACAGCAGTAAAGGAACAAGGAAGATGCGCCCATGATGAACATCAACTGCAAAATATTCCAGTGATATAGTACTTAAGGTGATTTGTACTGAAGGGGAATCGTACTGATAGGGAGTACTGTAATTGCATACAATAAGGTAAGAGTTCATCTTCACACTATAAATAGAAAAGGAAGAAGGGAGGGAGGTTCCAAAATTAATCTAACCAACTAAGAAAATAAAGAGACAACTACATAGCATAAGCCCTAATGAACTATTTTCTCTTGTATAAAGTGGGATGTCTTGGACATGCTCCTTTTTAGCCAGGATTAATTTGCTAACTCCCCAAATGGCTCTCTCACTATGGCCAGATTTGTAACAACAATCCCGCCCTCAATAAGAACCTTGTCCTCAAGGTTCAAGTCAAGGACAACATGAGTAGCAAGCTGCCCATCCCACCCCCCACCCCACCCCATTGTCAGCAAAACAAAGTGTTCTTCATGGCCAAAGAAGAATATGTAACCATGTACATGTGCTGCCGCAATGATATGAAGCATGTAAACATTAGACATGCCTAACACAATGGCAGTAGAAACAGAAGCTTGAACTTCAATTGTAGTAAGATAGAAGGAACTAATGTAGGATCTTTAGTCACAAGGCTAATTTGGTTCCTTAACCAACGAAGTTGTAATGTCCATATGTGCAAAATGCATAGGAAAACCAGCCACTTATTTGGGATACAGAGTCTCTCTGTTAGTGAACCAACAAAGTTTTTCAACTGGCAGCATTGACATCCCTATCCCACATGTGGTCCAAGGTGGCAACAAAAATCACAGTAACTAACTCATTAGACATATCGAAAAAACCCATAAGCAGAAACGATAGCAATCCATTAAGAATATCAGCTTCTGCCGTTTATATTCACAACATAGTATCACTACTTCACTACCCACTTGCGGCTGTGTAAGCCAAAAGCATGTTGAAGCAAACCAGTGGCTATATGAGGACAACGAAATGCTGCATAAATATCCCTTTCTGGATTTAAACCGAACACTTTCCGACCAAACACCATGTCAAGCTTATGTCTTTTGCCTTTAGGAAGAAAACTCGGTAGCTTAACCGAGACTGCCAAGGTGTAGATTCAAGTTGGGTCGTGACAATAAAAGCACTGGACATATTGTCGAGACTCACGGGTTTTTGTATTGTATCCCCAACAACTTTAACATGAAGTTGCGAGTTCAAATGAGAGTTCACGATCTCAGCCACCTTGGTGTTACTATCATCATAAGCTAAGTCTAGCACTGATGTGATAGTTGTAGCATCTGACATCTCTGGGTATCAATGAAAGTGGAGTCCAATTGCATGTCCTCTGGCTGCAGTGAGCGCACACGGCAAATAGAAGAGAGCATACGCTTGTTGTTAGCTTGTAGGTCCTTCATCGATTCTTGCAACGCATTCACCGATTCAAGAGGGTGTTGAATTGAGCTTCAAGCATGGTAGAAGGGTAGAGAGGCATGGAATAGGAACAATGAAAGCACCAAGGTAATGGAGGGGAATCGTATTGATAGGGAGAACTGTAATCCCATACAAGAGTTCATTTTCACACTATAGGAATAGAAAAAAAAGGAGGGACGTTCCCGAATTAATCTAAGCTCCCTAAGAAAATAAAGAGACAACTTCATAGCATAGGCCCTAATGAACTATTTCCTCTTGTATATATATACCTCATAATGAAGTGCACATGCTCCTTTTAGCTAGGGTCCCAAAGGTGATTTGCTAACCCCCCAAATGGGTCTTTCACTATGGACAGATTCGTAACATGATTCTAAACTGCCCTCTTCTAGTCCTAAAATATCAGTTACTATCTCCCAAATTCATCAGGCTTCATATTACATCCAATAATTGCATGTGAACAGGAAGCATTGACTGAAAACTAACACCCAAACAATTGTTCCTGAAACTTTTCTGCAAGTGTATAACTGACATGAACTCTCAATCTGCTCTCAAGATTGATATCTACAATTATAACTCTATGGCATACTCAACTATTTTGTCTACATGCCTTAATATACATAATATTATCGAATGAGTCCACCAAAAAAAAGTTCTGGAGGAAATTATGAGAGCACCCAGTTATTTCCCTGAGTACCTAAAAAATACTGCTAAAGAAACAGCCATTTTCACAAGTGGAGCAATCCAGTTATCCAGCCAAAACTAGTTCAGTACAACAGTAAATAGCATACATGGCAATCCATCTAAAGACGATATCAGCAGCTAGAACGCCAGCCTGGTATCAAAATCGACTCTCTTCTTTACCTCGTTATGTACTTGAACAACTGATATTTAATACTCTAGCTATTTCCAAAATACCTCTGGATTTGTCAACGTAAAAGAGAGAATCGCTAGGAACTTGAGCGAGTGAACCGCCGGAAAGAGCATCCTTTGTGGAATTGTCAAGGAAATCTTCAATATCCTCTGTACTTATGTTGGCTCTCCATGCCTTCTTCCCTTTCCTTGAGCTCTTTGCTTTCTTCCCCATCTCTCTACCTTCGCTGCAAAGGCGGCAACGTTAAGCCCTTGCGTTGTGTCCCCAAATAGTTAAGACCCAAAAAGTATGAGTCAATTCCCTAAATGGTAACCCAAGTTTAGGAAATTGCCTTGAAATATCATTTATGTTTCATTTAGGACCAAAATATCACTCAACTATTACTATTTTCCTCCAAATATACTTGACACTTCAAAAGCCTCACTCTCTCCTAATTGGCATGACATGTCATTAAAGCCATTTTTCTAATAATAGGCTTAATAATTTATCAAACTCATTAAACTAAAATAATGATCTTATTATTTTCTAAAAAATAAATAAATAAATAAAAAATAATAATAATAATAATAATATATATATATATATTAGTTTATTAAAAAGAAATTTTCATACTTAATAATCTTTTATCATAATTAAATTTTTTATTTTTTTATGCTGTGAAGAATAGTTTTTTAAAACTTACCATGATGTCATCAATTTTGAATAATTATGAGAAAATATATTCAAAAAATATTGATATATAAATCACTTATGAATGTCAACTTACATCAATGAATCATATATTATATAATGGATCAATAATATTGAAGGTCTATTAACTATTAATAAATAATTAATTGGGTGCTTTGAAATCCATATATACTTACAATATCTTTCTTTGAAAAGAAAATAGAAAGTGAATAATATTTATATTAGAAAATAAAATTTTGATCTTTATTTATCAACATATTAATCTCATATAATATGTATATTTTTGAATTAAAATAGGCAATTCAATTAATTATTACTTGTATTTCATGAATTTGGGATAATATAAGAATATATATTGGTGTTTAATTGTATGAGAAGTTAAAATATAATATAATATAGAATAAAAGAATAAAAATTTAAATTAAAAAAAGTTAAATAATAATTTTCTCTTTCTTACCAACTTTTTTGTCAACCTTACAAATTTATTTGAATATTTTTATGAAAAAAATTGCTTAAATTTTTTGAATAATTTACTTAGGAATTTTAAAAATTACCAGGTAATAATTGCACAAAGAGGTTTTTTCATTGAATTTTGTTTGGTAAAAATATATAAAGGAATTAGATTTTTTTTTTAATAATCTTCATAAATTCTCATGTAATTTATATATTTGTTTTGTGGAGACATAAGTTTGATGAATTAAATAGGTCTATTATTTTTTTAAAAATGATGATTTAATGACATGAAATATCAACTAGTATAGAAGAAGACTTTTGAGGCATTTAGTATTTGTTTTTGGATAAAAAATATGATATTATTCACTTTCTATTTTTTCAAAAAATATAATAAAATGGTACACATGAATTTCAAAGTACTCGATTAATATTATTGTAACCGTTAATTGACCTTTAATATTATTGATTCATTATACAATTTATGATTAATTGATATAAGTTAGCATTCATGAGTGATTTGTATATCAATATTTTTTTTAATGTACGTGTTTATAAATATTCAAAATTGATGATATTATAGTACATTGTAAAAACCTATTCTTCATAACATAAAAAAATAAAAAAGTTTAATTATGATAAAAGATTCTTAAATATGAAAATTTATTCTTAATAAACTAATATTCTTTAAAAAATAAAATACGATCATTATTTTAGTTAAATGAGTTTGATGAATTAAATTAGTCTATTATTTTAAAAAAAATCTTAATGACATGTCATGCCAATTAGGAGAGAGTGAGGCCTTTGAAATGTCAAGTATATTTGGAGGAAAATAGTAATAGTTGAGTGATATTTTAGTCCTAAATGAAACATAAATGATATTTCAAGACAATTCCCTCAACTTGGGTGACCTTTTAGGGAATTGACTCCAAAAAGTATGAAGTTCTGATACTGTATTTTTTTATATACAGAAGGGGTCAGATTTGTCATGTTATTTTCCTTAATTACTATTGTATGTCCTCTCATTTTTACTTGTCATATTTTAATTTGATATATTTCTTTTTAAAATATTAACATAATTATTTGACTGCAGTATTTTTATTAATTGATATTTAGTATTAAGTCTTAAAAAAATATTTAAATTTAAACTACTGAAAAACATGAATGTAAAAGAGAATAATTGAAACCTTTGATCAAAACAATATTTGTAAGTAAGTTTTGTTTATTTTATTATAATAAATTATACTTCTAATTCTGAGTCCTATTAGCTATTTTAAGAATTCAAACCCTAAAAATATCATCAAAGACATATATATTAATAAGGTTGAAATTTTAATCCCCGTTGAACTCTACATTTATTGAGTCAAGCTAAGTTTAATGGTGAGAGGGACATAGTGAGGAGTCCAACCTCGCATCGTGGGGCTCATTTCAAGGTTGAACACCTTTTGTTAAGTCTCTTAAGTTTAGTTTTCATAGAGGTGCGACGCGAGACTTATCTCATGGTCCAACCTAGAGAAATTTTTCCTTTATTTTAGTCCGGATTACTTTGTTTTGCGTTTCAATTCATCATGTGGGTCTTTTCTTGATGATTTAAACCTGAAATCAACGTCATCTTGTCCATTAGCTTACCATATCATATCATCAACAAATACAAGGATATTCACAATATTATACAAAGAACTAAGCTAAAATGCAGACAAAATATGATGTTTGAATGTGTAAATACACTCCAGATCACCATTCCTTATTTAGAGCTTTAGTTCATCCTGGGACAACTCATCATATCCTCTATAGACCCAATATCACATCTATCCTAGCTAGACAAAGCTACTCACAAACTCCGGTTCACTCACACAATTTAATCATGATCTAAAATTTACTCATTCAAGCATATCTTTCAAACTCAAGACTCATCATGCAAACATCACAAATACTAGACCGATTCTTTATCACATATATATGATCAATATTCAGTACATTGTTTTGTATTAACGTTGTCGTTGCCTGGGAACATTGCTTCATGCTTGCAGATTATCAGGTAAACAAGGAACCACGTGCGTGTGGTCGTGTTCAGCTAAAGATAAGTGCACTCCATTTTTTCGAGAGTTGTTGAGTTTATAATCTTCTTTAGCTTTATATTAGTAATGGGTATGTCAGGGCGTTGTCCAACTCATGATAAGTAGATTTTAATCTTAGAAGCTTATAGACATTTATTGTGGGTTTGGTAATAATATGCAGTCTAGTTTGCCTTGTAGAATACTTTAGTTATATTTGAGTTTGTTTCTGTTGTGTTTCTTTAGGTTTTACTTGGCCTTAATGGTATGTGTTTGTTGTTTGAGTTGGTTTTAGTTGGTTCAGTCAATGAAATGCGGCACAAGATGTCACTCTTTCCTCTTTATATTTGGGAGATGACAAATTTGATATCAGAGGAACATCGTGTCCTAGAAAATTTAAAAGTAGTGTTTAGTAGAGTTTTTCTTACGAATATGTTGTGCACCACACTTATAATTAGGAGGCTCTTCATGATTTAGATCTAAGTGTTAAGAGTTGAGTTATCAAAATCGTGAAATAAGGATTCACGATCATCAAACCTACGCAAACCTTGTGGAAAGGTCGATTCTAATTTGAGACGTCATAGCATTTTCAAGGATGGAGTTGCTTATGTCGGGATAAGTATTTTTTTCATGTTTTAAGTTTGTCTCATCAGCATCTGTGTGTGATGAGTTTTTGATAGCTACTAGTGACCTTGTAAGGCAAGTGATTGGTTTTCTAGGCCATTTTGTAGGTGTGGTATAGTTCAGTGTATAGGGGAGGTTCTGTCAGAAATTCAAGAAGTTTCTAGTTGTTCTCGTGCATTCTATTTCACATTCAAGGACAAATATTTGTAAGGAGAAAAAGATGTAACACCCTGGGTGTTTAAGGTCATGTCCCGATTTTTTATTAATAGGTTTTCATCTTAGATATTTGTTGTGGATTTTCATCTAGTTGGCCTTGTATTATACTTCTATTTTATTTGAGTTTGTTTTTGTTACATTTCTTTATGTTTGACTTAGCCTTAGTGACACGTCTTTATTATTTGAATTGGTCTAGGTCAATTCACTCTATCAAGTGGGGCATATGATACTGGTCATGCCTCTCTAAATTTGGGGTGTGACAACAATATCATCTGAAGCTGAAAAATTGAAAATATTATTGCTTTCTTTGTAGGACTCAATTGAAATAGATCTCAAGATACAAGGGTTATTATATAACTCTGGGGAGAGATCCTCTCCTACACTTGAGAAACTTTATGAGAGTTTGTGCTGAGTATAGGAGTGCACTATTCTCTGATGATATGCTAAAACTTAACATGTTTGTGTACTCTCTTAATTAAAGGTGAAGCAGAAGCATAGTTCAAAACATTGTAACGGGATGAAATTGACTATTGTCTGAAACTAGTCTACATATTTATTCATGAGTGGAGTTTAGTTGTCGAATGGCTGCAAGCTCTCAATATTATCTTGTATATCAAACAGCCGAAAGGGGAGATACTATTTGATGCATAAGTAAGGTTTAAATACTATAGACACAATAGGAATATGGGTTGCACGACTCAATTATTCAGGATGCATTCTAGACAACACTTGATCTAGTAAATCAAGAACTAGCGGTAACCACAGCAGGGTAGAAGCTGAACATCATGTCGAAGAAGGATGTCATAAAAGTGATGGATGATATAACCAGACATGCGCATGAACGTAATGCCAAATTCAAAAAGGTAATGAATGAGATAATCGAAAATAGAAGTAAGGTATGTGTATGTCACTTTTGTGAGGATCATTTGATCAGTTGATTAGACAAACTATTGTTGTGTGACAAAGTTAAATGAAACACTTTTTGAGAGGCAATCCGAGATTATAATAGATGAAGACATAAAATATAAAAATATAAAATATGAGTCGTGCCATAATCGAAAATATGGCACTTGGTGGGATACAACCCACCTTACTAACTATTATCTTAAGTGTTTTTGCAAGTTTTAGGTACGGAGCCAACCAAAAAGCATGCATTGGAACAAATAAGTGCCGAATTTTTTATTAAAAAAAAGGTAAATGCATAGAATCTCGCACTGCAAAACCACCAGACCCCATGTTCGTA